ATATATATATATTTTTATATTTATATATATATATATATATATATATATATATATATATATATATATATATATTATATAGTATAATATATATAATATATATATAGTTCATGCACATTTTCAATGACATTATTGTCAGATTCTACAGGCCCAGTACATCTAAATCTAATAGTGCCGCTCTCTGCTGCTGCTGGATGCTTGATTCTAGCTCTGCTCGTGTTCTTATGCATCTGCATGAAGCACAAAAACACAGACCAAAAAGGCAAGTGTTACCAAATGCTGACACTGTTCATGTTCATGTTATTAACATTGCAGAAGTGTGAAAGATGTCTGTTTCAACAGTTGAGACTCGTGCAGAAGAGATCACATATGCTGATCCCACATTCTACAAAAGAAAAGCACCGAAATCGGTGAGATCAAAAATCTAAATTACAAAAATCTATCTGACTCACCTCTGCTCTGGGCCATAACTTGGCTTAAGTTCTGGCTAACTTTACACATGGGTCCACGGCCAAAACTGGAACTGGAACACTGGAAAGTGACACATACATTTAGATCAGGCTGAGATCTGGCACTCTCCCTGTTGAAATGTTTATTTTTATGTGGCCCAGCTCTGGCATAGACACTATGAGGCTGTTTACACCTGGGCACTTTTTGAGTTGTGGAAACATTTCCATTTACACTTGACCACATAAATGTGTCTTCATTAAACCTAAATAATTGATATGACGCATTGAGCTAGGTTTCCTCAAATATAGAGATAAAGATTATAAAGATATATAAAGATACCCTCTGTTTTATTTAATCAACATATAAGAGGCTAAATTATTATATGCATTTGTTTATATGACAAAACATGTCTTTTTGACTCAAGAAGGTCCATACTGACTACAAAGGCAGATAGTGATAAGATCAGGGCCTGTTGTGTGGACTTTGGGGGTTTTATGGTGTGGTCACATGTTGATTGGTCAGTTTGAATGTCTTCAATGGCTTTAGTCACATGGTCAAGAAAGATACAGAATAGGTTGTAAACTCAAGCTCTGTCTCTTTTCCTGCTCTCTTTTCCTGGCCTGCTTCTCTCCTGCTCTACCCCTCTCCTCCTTTGGAGTCTATCTTCTCTGACTCTACTGCAATCAGGCTTTTGGGCCTGCTCTCTTTGTCTCTCTCTCCCTCCCTCTGTGTCTCTCCTTCTCCCTATGGTAACTTTAATTTTACATTTAAGCTGGGTACAATTTAAATCATTTGTTTTATCATTTCATATTTTATCATTTTATACAGTTATTTTGTAATTAATACAGTTGTAACCATAGAGAATTACTGTCATTAAATCATCTCATTTTCAAGTGTTTGTGAATTACTTTTGATTTAACATCAACATTTAATTGTTCCATAATGCAATACAATACAATCACATAATGTCAACGCTCTCCCACATTTATAGTTATTAATACCGCCCTTATTTCCGTTTTTGGTATGACATTGCAGAAGAATGGTTTGACTAGAAATGTACAGTTTTTTACCATCATGCTGATTACTTTTTAGTCGCTCGGCAGAACTACAATTCGAACCGCTGTGGTTAAAGACCGTTCTTACAAGCATTATTATTTACAGAAACATAAGCATAACATTACCGGGCAGTGTGCTTAATCAAACACCTGACACTAATCGCAATTCAACTGCCAAACTGTCTTTACTTATTTATTAATTTATTTACTTTTCGGCTTAGTCCCTTTATTAATCTGGGGTCATCACAGCAAAATGAACCGCCAACTTATTGTCACCGACTCGGTCCCATTCATTCCCCTCGCTGGCCAGCAGAGGCCGCCATCCCCGGATTTCTAAGCATTACATCATTCACCTAGACTGATCGTGCACACACCTGAACTGAATCCAGTTAACGACCCACGCTCCCTATATAAGCCACACTCAAACTCCAGTTCACTGCGAAGTCTTGTTTCAGCCCCGGCCAGCATTACTGAGCGTTATATCCTGCCTGATCCCCTGTGCATTACTCCAGCCCGTTTCTGACTCTGCTTTGCCTTCTGCCTGCCCACGACCCAAGCCTGATACACGGACTCTGATACTCGCTGCCTGCCCTTGATCCTAGCCTGATACACGGACTCTGAATCACGCCGCCTGCCTCTGACCCTTGCCTGGTAATTCACCCTGTGTCTGTCAGCCGCCAGCCTTGATACCTTTACTGCTACTGTCGATGTGTGTTTGCACCTTTGTGCATATTGTATGTTTGAGTAAGTGTGATTTAGTAAATACTGCATATGGATCCCTCCGTGTCAGTCTCCACGTTACACTTATCCAGCATATGTTTTACGCTGTGGATGCCCTTCCAGCCACAACATATCACTGGGAAAACTGTCTTTATTTATTTGTTTATTTTTTTGTGATTATGGGATCCTTCATTCTGACAGTGGTCGTCTGTAACAGTACGGATGTGGACCAATGGTACTTGTAGATGTGCATAAAATAGAAAGACAAAAGATGTGTCAGTTAACTAGAAGGGTTTTTGAGGCGTTGGCTCAATTCTGGCCCATTATCATCTCACCAATGCTGAGACTGAGCCAACAGTGTTGCATTTTAGCCAGAATCGACTTAAAAGTGCTTGCTATCTGGGGTTTGTTTTTGTGCAGAATATGTGAAGGTCTACACATTATATGGTCAGTATGCTTTTCATTATCTTTATGCATGTGTGTTTGTTTTGTTTTAGGGTGTTCAAGAGGAGCCTGATGTCGTGTATGCAGGAGTCGCTGTGAGACCTTGATCAAACTTTTGACCAAACCTGTGATTCATTTTAGGGGCTGCAATTTCTAGATCACAGCCTACCTAAAACAGGAATTACTATATCAATGTGGTTGTTTTTGTCAATATATGTATTTTTAAATATCTTAACACATTTTACCTTGTGAGCGTTTGGAGTGTAAATACAGTGTGACTGAATGTATTTCCAGCTACATCTGGATGTGTCTAAAAGTATGAAGTCAGAAGAGTCTCAATAATAATGTATTACATTTCAAGAGTTCACACTTAGCTAATGATTGATAATAAAGCTAGTTTGGCGCGCTGTCCCGGGAGAGAGCCCTGAACTTATAAGATCCTCAAGCCCTGGGCTCCCTCCCGTTGCAAGGCGAGAGGGGAGTTTGAGCTCAGGTAAATCTCGATGACTCTCCTTCTTGCTTGTTGTAGCTAAATGTCAGATATGGATGGTGAAAAGTATACTCAGAGTTTAGCTAAAGTATTTGGATTAATTGTTTAGAGTGCTTGTTTTTGAACCGTGGGAGGAAACCGGAGGACCCGGGGAAAACCCACGCGACCACGGGGAGAACGAGCAAACTCCGCACAGAAATGCCGTCTGGTTTGGCAAGGAATTAAACCAGGGGCATTCTTGCTGTGAGGCAACAGCGCTAATCGCTGGCCACCGTGACGCCCGTTTGAAAGGAGGGAAAGTAGGGTTGTGTGGGGGGGTTTCTTCAAGACGAAGATATTGAGATGAGANAAGTCTGGTTATTTATAGTGAGTTAAGGATCGTCTGATAGGATAATCAGTCATTAGCTAAAGTTGGAACAGCTGTGAACAATCATAAGCACATGATCCTCTCGAAATTTGTTTATAAATAAACTTCACACATTCACAGTCACAGGGAACTGGTCAATTTTAAACATTGAAAACTGTTTGTATCTTATGAACATGCATTTTTATTTTGTGCATGTGAGTTTTTGAGTGTATATATGCTGCCGGAAGTGGTGTTAGTGAGGCCAGCAGGGGGCACCCAACCAGCAGTCTGTGTGGGTCCTAATGCCTCAGTATAGTGACGGGGACTCTATACTGCTCAGTGAGCGCCGTCTTTCGGATGAGACGTTAAACTGAGGTCCCGACTCTCTGTGGTCGTTAAAAATTCCAGGATGTCCTTCGAAAAAGAGTAGGGGTTTAACCCCAGCATCCTGGCCAAATCTGCCCACTGGCCTCTGTCCATCATGGCCTTCTAACCATCCCCATATCATAATTGGCTTCATCACTCTGTCTCCTCTCCACCAATCAGCTGGTGTGTGGTCTGGCGCAAAATGGCTGCCGTCGTGTCATCCAGGTGGATGCTGCACACTGGTGGTGAATGAGGAGATCCCCCCCGTTGTGTAAAGCGCTATAAGTGCCCAGAAAAGCGCTACATAAATGTAAGGAATTATTATTATTATGAATTTGGTTTCATGCATATGAATTTGAATACATTGTAATTTTTTGAATGGATTATTCTTGAGACTAGATTAGACAAGATTATGTTTCCTTCAGTATTTGCTGTCCACTTGTCAAGTCAAGTCGAGCTTTTTTTCATACCGCTACATATGTGAACATACAGAGGAACAATTTTGTGTCTCGCAGGACAACGATACTACATAAATTAGTCATAAATACAAACACAATGCTGGACATAAGAGCTATTTTTAAAAACCTATGCTAAACTAACATATACTATAAGATACTTAACAATACACAAGACAGGTTATACGAGTTCTTGTACATGAGACTGAACAATGTTGTACAGGATATTGTGCAAGAGAGGTATTAGAGGTAAATATTGTGCAAAAGAGCTATTTAAGGATTAATATTGTGTATGAGTTATTTATTGTTTCAGCAAGCAAGTGCAACTTGATTGTGGTACATTTATAGTAAATATTGCTTTCATTGTTCAGTTCTTGTAAGATGGAGTTTAGATAAAGTGTCAGGTGCATAAAGAGAAGAGTCACATAGACAGAAGCCCAGTCACCTTTTTGAAGCACAATTTGAAATGCACAATGTTTCCAAGTGACATGGAATGATTTAGAAAGTGTCAATAGTGCAGATGTGCAAACTGGTGCAAGAGTCAGAGAGATAAGAGGGTGTCTTTTTTACAGGTGGTTTGTTAAGCCCACTCACCTGTATGGGACATACTCAGGAATGCATGGGGATGTAATCTAGCAGAGCAGGCTCTAATCCTTTAAAACCTTCTTGAATGTGGAGGGGATGAGTAGAGTCTTTCATAATAGACCTTTTTCACAGCGAAATTGAACACCGGAAGCGCCCTTCGAAGCAGTGTATCGATATTTCCAGGTTCGCTAGGAGTCGCAGAGACGTGACAGCCTCGGGTCAGCGAATGACTTTCTCACAGTCAACTTTGCCATAATTCGGACAGGAAGATGTTGTTCGGTGAATGTGTAAAACTGCCTAAATAAAACAGCATTTAAAAGATGATACCGATTTGCAGAATTTGTGCAGAAAACATGTCTTACACACAGCGTTTGCATCGTCAAAAAGAATCGTTATTAATACATTTTTGCACCTCACCCCATAAGCTGACTATGTACAATGCCAAAATAAGTGTAAAACTGTCTCCTCATATTCATTACAAATATACAAATTACATCAATCCCACTTTTAAATTTTTGCAAACAATGTTTTGCTGGATAAAACCTTTGGATAAGTTTATAGGATATTTCTTTAATTCTATTTCTAACATGATATTTCTGTAGTAACAGACACACTTTTCTTCAATTCACCCTTTAATAAAGACATCCAATAAAATTGGATACGAGGTACAGTAATGATTTCTTTTTGGAAAAGAGTATGAATAGCTCTATCATTACTCTTGGTATTTAGTAAAACAAAATTTGCCGACATAAGATTTAGTAATATCAAAAGACGATGCATCAGAAGGATGGTCTTATTAATACCTCTAAATAACATGAATGAATAACATGTCTCTGAAGGAATTGAACCAATAACAGTTAAAAACTTGCTGGGTTATTGAGATTGTGTAATGAGAAAGGACTTCATTGTAAGAAAAGTATACCATCTTTATTATATACCTGACTAAACAAATAATTTTGTTGTCAAAACAATAAAAAAAAGAGATTTGCGTTCGTATGAATTGTCTATTACTCCAAAATAACAGCAATGTAGGGAGAAATCATGCTTCTAAATTAATGACCATGATGAGCACTTGTTTGTGGAAGGCAGATAGCTTAACTGGAGTTTTGTCTATATTATAATTACTCATCAAAATAAAACTAAGACCACCAGTCTTTAATAAAACATGATAATCTCTTCTTTGAAGTGCATACAAACGTGCTTGAAACGACATTCAACCCCTCTAATAATGTCATCCATGATTTTCTCTGTCCTTCGTCTTTCGGGAAATCGTGGTCATTAAATTAAGGGTGTCGTTCGGGAACGCGCAATCACATTGATGAGATGACTCTACCATTCTTTCTTACTCCGTCGCATTGAAACCATATGTTGTGGGACGCTGTTTCGCTTACCGGAACCAGGAAGTGTGAAAAAGGCCTATACTGCTATAGCTTTGCTGGAGCACCATGAGAGCAAAATGTGTTGAATGGAGAATAGAGGTGCACCAATGATCTTTTCAGCTGGTCACCTGTTGTGCGTTAGAGGACTTGTGGTCGGCAGCACACAGTGGTACTGTCTTTGTGACATGATCTGTAAAAATACATCTTAAAGGGTCAGTTCCCCGAAAATTTCTAGAATTCTGTCATCATTTATTCACCCTTTACTTGTTCTGAACCTTTATGAGTTATTTCCTTCTGTTACACATAAAAGAAGATCATTCGAAAAAGCTGAAAACATGTAACCATTGAATTAGAAATTATTTTTTTCCTAATGGGAGTTAATGGTTACAGGTTTTAAGCTTTTTTCTAAATATATATATTTTTGTGTTTAACAGAAGAAAAAACTCTTAAATGTTGTGAACCACTTGAGGGAGAGTAAATAGTGAGTACACTATTTTCATTTTTGTGTGAACTATCCCAAAAATACCAAATGTAAACAGCAATGTATGCAATCTGTGAGTTAATACAGACAGTCAAAACTTTTTTCTTGTTTTTCTGAGAGTATTTGATATTGATATAATAATATTTCGCCTTATTCCATTGTGTTTTAAGTGTCATGAACGTTTATACTGTACTGAATCATAATGTAATAAGAGGTCTTATATCTAGGGATGTTGAAAAATGTGCTTTATTATGTGTATATTATATTGCTGTTTGCCATCATGAGCCTGATGAAGCTTCACCTGCAAATGTCTCTCTCACTGTGATGTTTTATGTTGTAAAAGGTTAATGTGTTAGAGTTGTTTTTTAGCTTTTTTATTACGCATTCAAATAAATATGTTGATCTATTTCTAAGCCTCTTTAATGCATGGTTTTTAATATTACCATCCATCTCTAGCCTTGTTATACTGGTTGATTTGATATTACTTCTACATCTGTTCATTTAGCAGACATTTCATTTGTGTATAATGTTGTTTATAATGATGAAGTGTCACCTGCAGCTGTCTCTCTCACTGTGATTAATTATATGTTTTCTTTTACTGCTTTGTGCTTAATGTCCATTTCATAACTTACAATAAGTAAAATAACATCACAAATATCATATACTATACTGAATGCCTATTTATAAGCTTCCCAATAACATTCTCCCAAGAATTAGGAGTAATAAGCATTTTCTGCATGAGCTTCGCCCATCCAATTCTATTTTTTACCCCCAGCCCTTCCTCATGGTCCTTAACACATAATGTAGAGGGGAAGGGCTTCAACATTTATGTCTAAGAAATGGGACAGCAATACTGCACCTGCACACATCATCCTATGTCATCACAGGGTCTTACTTCATATGAGAACGACGATGGTGACTACTGTAGTTATTCCAGTTGCTTTATATTTTGCTAATTATTTACAGGAAATCACAGAATGCAACGATATCATGTTATTATAATGATATAATGTGGCAAAAAGCTTGTAACTGTACTTTGTATTTACACTGTGGCCTTATTCATCTATGTAAACACAAGAAAACAACATTAACAATATAGCAGACACTGTAAAAGTAGTTCTCAGCCACTAAACTTTTCTGACAGGGTATTCATCGAGTGTCAGATGTGAAAGTGTGTTGTTGGACTACTATACAGGAGTTATTATTATGGATTATAGATTAGATTAAATCTAGCAGGGTTTTTAAATCTTTTTTAAAGCAGGACTGTAAATAAAGGCCGTATTATATTAAAACATATGCATGTTTGTTGTAAAAATTCTTAGTAATAGCAAAAATCTGGATCTCCTGACTCCCCTATGCAACCATTTTGCTGTTGTAGATGGTGTATTCTGGAATATTTTCGCACTCCTTGGTTTCTAGTGTGGTACTGGGAAATATCTGTTTCAAGGGCTATCTAGCTCTTCCTCTTAGCTCTATGCCTTCAACCTAAAGAGAATTTGGACACCCCTACCCCTTTTTGTGAACACGCAAAGCGAGGGGTAG